ATACCAAAACAAGGAAACCCACGTTCATGTGTCAGAAGACTTAATATTGTTAAGTTGGCAATAATCCCCGTATTGTTCTACACATTTAATGACATAACTATCAAAATCTCAGCTGCCATTTTTTCAGAAATTGTCAAGGTGATACTAAAATTCATATAAAATTTCAAGAGACCTAGAATAGCCAAACAATCTTGAAAAAGAACAGTGTTGGAGGACTCACTTTCCCATTTCAAAACTCACTGTAAGGATATTGTTATCATGACTACATGGTACTGGCATAATGACAGATGTAGAGATGAGTGAAGTAGAATTAAGAGTCCTTCAGTTTTATGTCCCACATATGAGTGAAGTCATATGGTTCTTGACTTTTTCTGTCTGACTTATTTCATTTAGCATAATGATCTCAAGATCCAACACATAATGCAATATATAGATCATGCATTATAGAATTGTACAGTTGAAGCCTACATAGTTTGTTGACCATTGTCACCCCAATAAATTTTAATAAGAAAATCAAAACTAAATAAAAACAGTTGAGTCCAAAAATAACCCCTCATTTTATGGTTCACTGGTGCTTGACAAGTGTGCCAAGACAATTCAGTGGATAAAGAATGCTCTGTTCAATAAATAATGCTGGGATAGCTGGATAGACGCATGTGAAAGAATGAAGTTAGATCTCTGTCTCACAGCATATAAAAGAATTAATTCAAAATGGGCCAAGAAGCTAAATGTAGGAACTAACACTAAAATATCTTAGAAGAAAAAATAAGGGCATAAATCTTCATAACTTTGACTAAGCAGTGGTTTCTTAGATTTGTCAACAAAAGTACAAGCAACAATAGGAAAGGTAGGTAAATTGGGTTTCAACAAAATGTTAACCCTTTGTTCACCAAAGGACACCATACTGAAATTGAAAAGCCAGCCCACAGAATGTAGGACAATTTTGCAAATCATCTATCTGGTAAGGGATTTTGTCCAAAATATGTAAAGTACTCTTACAATTCAACAATAAACACACACAAAAAACCAATTACAAAATGGGCAAAGTAATTGAGTACATATTTATCCAAAGAAGTTAATACAAATGGCCAATAAGCACATGTAAAGATTCCCAATATCATTAGTAATTAGGGTAAAACAAAACCACAATGAGATAACTGCTTCAAACTCACTAAGATTGTGGGTATCAACAAGACAGACAATAAGAAATATGGAAAAGGATGTGGAAAAGTTGGAACCCTCGTACATTGCTTTTGGTAATATAAAATGGTGTCGATCACTTGGAAGACAGTTTTGGCAGTTTCTCAAAAAGTTAAATAGACTTACCATTTGATCCAGCAATTCTACGCCTAGGTGCATTCCCAGAATAACTGAAAACACATCCTCACAAAAACTTGTACACAAATGTTTATGATTGCATTAGTCATAACAGTAAATAAATGGAAACAATGCAAGTGTTCATCAGTTAACGAATGGTTAAACAATGTGATATAGCCATACAATGGAGCATGGGGCAGTAAAAAGGAAGGACTGATACTTAGTACAACTTGGAATAACCTTGAAAACATTGTGCTAAGTGTGAGAAGTCAGTCACAAAAGACTGCATATTGTATAATTTCATTTATATGAAACGTCTAGATTTTAGGCATATCCATAGGGACAGGAGGTAGATTAGTGGTTGTCTGAATGTAGGGGGAGGTGGAAATGGGGAAGTGATGCTAATGAGTTTCTGGTTTCTTTTTTTTGGAGGGGTGATGAAAGTGATCTGGCATTATACAGCGGTGACGATTGCACAACTTTTTGAATATACTAAAATCCACTGACTTGGTGCATTTTATGACATGTGAGCAATATCTCAATTATAAAAGTGATGTAATTTTTTAGCAAGAGCTCATTTTGAGACATCCTTAATTTTGTCAAATTTTGAATTTCTTCGTGAATGATGCAGCCTGACTCCTATTAGAAGCCTAGCTGCTGGTAGTCCCTTCCTGTCTCTGTTTGATAATCTTTGGTTACCTTTACCTGGAGACGTGCGGGCAGTGTGACAGTGGCAGCAAGATGGGTCTGAATCTGAAATCTGCCATTAACTTCCTGTATGACTTTGAACAAGTTGCTTGGTCTCTGTGAGCCTGAGTTTTCCCCAATTCAAATGAGGGATAATGACATGTACCTAATAAAGTTATTGTGAATATTAAGCCCTCAGCCAAAGGCTTGATGCATTTATGTTTCAGGAGATTAATCTTTTTCTTTCAATGTTCCAATATATACTTGTCACATTTCCTTTAGAGGCAAACTGGTGTTGCCTGGAAACATGCCAGCATAACAACAACAACAACAACAAAATCTCTCCGACCAATTTTGTAGCATAAAATATTTGGGGACAGGAGGTCAGTACACATTTACATTTTTTCGTATTTACTCTTTCTGATTAGGGTATTTTTCTTCTCTGTGCTGAGATTGAGCTTTTAATTGGCAGTGTTTGCAAAGGTGACTTCCCTGGGTATGTGCAGCAACTTAATCCTCAGCAGAAAGAAATGCCATTGCCTGGTATCCTGTATTTGACCCTGAACTTCATTTCCTCATTACTGGGAATGCTGGATTAGTTGTCCAGTTCTCTCAGGAAGGGAAATCTATTTGTGATGGAAAATATATTAATATGGATGCATTTTTTTCCTCCATGCGTTCAGTGTGTTTGTTTTAATTCAGATACCATTTGAGAATATACTTCCTGTTTCTGGTGAGAATTTCAGAACTTTAAAATAATAGTTATTAGAATTTAAAGGGGCACTAAAGACTATCTAGCTTAATTTAGCTTTTATTGGTTTGTTTATTATATGAAGAAACTGAAGTCCAGGGAGAAGAAGTGACTTGCCCAGTCACCTCACCAGTAAGTGGCAGAACTGGACTAGAAGAGTAGAACACTGGGACAGGGAAAGGAGGTAATGTTATCTACTGCATGTTGGCACTCTACATTTACCTTCTAATTCAGTCCTTACAGCAGCACTCTCAAGTATGTTGCCATATTTGACGAGTTAGGCAACAGAAGCTCAAAGGGGTCAAGTCACTTAATCAGAAGTCGCACAGCAAGAGGACGCTAGACTGAGGCTAGGTTGCAAATCCAAGTCTATCTGTCTGAAGTTAATGTCCTTCTAGTTCTCTATTGTGTCCCCTAAACTAAAACCCTCCTCATCTATCACCCCATCTGATGTTCTTTCCAACACACTACATGCCTTTCTGATCTAATGCCCCACACAAGCTCTTCAGGAATGTGAGAAAAATGAAACTAGAATGCAGCAATGGATTTAGACCTAATATTAGACACTTAGACCAATGGAATAAAATCAGGAGCCCAGAAATAAACTCATGTAGATGTGGTTAAGTAATATTTCACAAGGGAGCCAAGAGTACTCAAGGAGAAAGGACCATTTCTTTAACAAATGGTGCTGGGAAAACTAGATATTCACACACACAAAAATAATGAAACTAGACCCTGATCATGCACCAGTCACAAAAATTAACTCACAATGGATTAAAGACTTAAATGTAAGACAGGAAATGATAAAATTCATAGAGGAAAAGAGGAGAAAAGCTTCTTGACAAGGGCCTTGGCAATGGTTTTTTTGATATGACACCTTAAGCACCAGCAAAAACAACAACAACAAAATCCATAGTGGGACTACTTCACACTAAATCGTTCTGCACAGCAAAAGAAATACTCAACCAATGAAAAGGGAGCCTATGGAATGGGAGAAAATATTTGCACATCATATCTGATAAGGGGCTAATATCCAAACTATGTAAAGAACTCATACAACTTAATAGGAAAACAAACAAACAAACCAAACAATCAGATTAAAAAATGGCAAAGGATGTGAAGAGACATTTTCCAGAAGAAGATACTGGAATAGCCAACAGACACGTGAAATGGTGAAATGGTGCTCAGCATCACTGATCATTAGGGAAATGCAGATGAAAACCATGATAAGATATCACTTCATGCCTGTTAGAATGGCTGCCATCAAAGAGATGAGATAAATGCTGGTGAGGATGTGGAGAAAAGGGAACCCTGGTGCACTGTTGGTGGGAATGTAAATTGGTGAAGCCACTATGGAAGTCAGTATGGAGGTTCCTCAAAAAATTAAAAATAGAAGTACCTTATGATCCAGCAATTCCACTCCTGGGTATTTATCTGAAGGAAATGAAATTGCAGTGCTGAAGAGATCTGAACACCCATGTTCATAGCAGGATTATCTGTAATGTTTAAGACATACGAGTAGAAACAACCTAAGTGTCCACTGACAGACACACACTCGTGCGCACACAATAGAATGCTAATCAGCCATAAAAAAGGAAATCCTGCCATTTGGGACAACATGGATGGCCCTAGAAGGTATTATGCTGAGTGAAATAAGTCAGACAGAGAAAGACATATACCACATGATCTCCCTTATATGTGGAATCTAAACAAACAATCTCATGGATAAAAGAAGTCAGATTTGTGATTGCCAGAGTTGGGGGTAGGGGGTGGGGCAACTGGCTAAAAATGGTCAAGTATAAACTTCCAGTTATAAGATAAATACGTCCTGGGGATATAACATACAACATGATGACTGCAGTTAACACTCTTGTATGGTATACTTGAAAGTCGTTAAGAGTGTAGTTCCTAAAAGTTCTTGTCACAAGGAGAAACATATTTTTGTAAGTATATGAGACAATGGATACTAATTAAACTTACTGTGTTAATTACTTTGCAATATATGTATGACAGGTCATTATGCTGTACACCCTAAAACTCGAGAAAGAAAAACTCTTGGGTAGGGGGATTGGCCAAAAAAGAAAAGAAAGAAGAGGAACATTGTACAGGCACTGAACACATTCCCCTGATGGCCTTACATTTGGCACCTTCCTCCAGTGACTACCAGGACTCGGGGCATAGATCTCTGCCCCCTTGCCTGTCAGTACCATGATTAATTTGGTTTATTTTTATTTTATTCTTCCAGCTGAATCCTTCAAGGAATTTGCTGAATTGCTCAATGAAGTAGAAAACGAGAGGATGATGATGGTAGGTCACTAACCTGGGCCCGGAGCCCAGATCATCGCTGCTATTGGGGATTTCTCTGCCTCTGTTGCTTAGGTGGATGCTCTGTCATGGTTTCTGTCTCATGGCTGCCTGGTACTGTAGAGACCGGGAATATATCTGGTCATTCTGCCTCCAGCTCCCACCCTGAGAGTGGAGCATCATGTGGAGAGAAATTCGTTGGGAAATGCTATCCCGATTCATTTCAGTGAGAAAGGATTTCAGAGGCCATTAAATTGGGCTGTTGAATATGTCAACCAAAACTATGGTCAATAGTGTTCTTAAGCAAATTATCTATTTATGTCTCTGCTTCTAGAAATAAAGCTACAGGCTTTATTTATATTTGTTTTATTTAAATCTATGGGAAAACTTTTTTCCTTACATTTAAAGTCTAATTTTTTTTAATTAATAGATTTTAATAGTTACAACAATTTTAGTTTTACAGAAAAATTGAGTGAAAAGTATAGAGAGATTTCATGTACTTCATTTCTCCCTTGCTCCTTTCTACACACCGTTTCTCCTATTTTTAACATCTTGCAAGTGTGGTACATTTGTTCAAAGTTATGAGCCAGTATCGACACATTATTAATTAAAGTCCATAGTTTATATTGGGCTTCACTCTTTGTGTTGAACATTCTATGGGTTTTAACATATGTGTAATGATATGTTTTTGCCAATAAAGTGTCATCATACAGAATATTTTCACAGCGCTAAAAATCCCGTTCTCAATTTATTCATCCCTTCCTCCCTCCCCTACATACAAGCCTCTGGCAAGCACTGATCTTTTTACCTTTTATTGTGTTTTGCCTTTCCTAGGATGTCATATTGTTTGAGTCATACAGTATTTAGCCTTTTCAGATCGGCCTATTTCACTTACGAATATGCATTTAAGTTTTCTCCATTTATTGATATTTCATTTCCTTTTATTGTTGAAATATATGAACACATATTCCATTATATGGATGGACCATGGTTTATTTATCCATTCACCTACTGAAGGACATCTTGGTTACTCCCAGTTTTGGCAATTATGAATGAGGCTACTATAAACATGTATGCAGATTTTTGTGTGGATATAAAGTTTCAACTCTTTTGGGTAAATTCCAAAGAGTACAGTTGCTGGATTGTATGGTAAGAATATGTCTAGTTTTTAAGAAACTGCCAAACTGTCTTCCAAAGTGAGTGGACCATTTTCTATTCCCACCAGCAATGAATGAGAGTTCCTGTTGCTCCACATCCTCAGCAGCATTTGATGTTGTCAGTGTTTTGGATTTTACCCATTTTAATAGGTGTGTAGTGGTATCTCACTGCTGTTCTAATTTGCTTTTTCATGGAGACATATGATGTTGAGCATCTTTTCACATGCTTACTTGCCATCTGTAGATCTTTGGTGAGGTGTCTGTTCAGGTCTTTCGCCCATTTTTTTCTGGGATTGTAACTTTGGAGAGGACAACAAAGAGGTCTACCTTCCTTTTCTCTCATGACATGACTTCCTATTGGCAGCTCAGTTTTGTTAAGCCCTTTATTTCAATAGAAGAGTTCTCTAATCTGTAACACTGGTCCTTTTCAACAGTGTGGTACTGGCTTCTCAAAACACAGCTCTCACTTCATCCAGGCTCCCAGAGAAGTAGCATTGAAGGCAGGGCTTGGAGGTATGGGAATTAATCGTTATGCCACTAAATTGCTTGTTGACTTTAGACTGACTGATCACTTGTTTCTCTGAGTCTCTTCTTTCTTTATATTTAAAGTGAGAATTACAATCTCCAGCTCCCAGGGTTGTTATAAGTACTCCAAATGATATAATGAATGTGGAAGTGTTTTATTAATAGCAAAAAAAGGAAAACCACTGATTACATGTGTTGTTTCTACTTATCTTTTGCAGCGTCCAAGATTCTGCTTGTGGAAATTTCGCTTGGGAATTTTCTTAGTTCAAGAGATTTGCCTCTGAGGACACTGGGAGACCAATATGGGTAGTTTCCATGGAGTCTGGTAGATGGCCCACTAGCTAATCCACACTCTACTAAATGTTTTCTTCTGTCCAAAGAGTTTGTGGACTGCTGCCAATGTTGATCTCAAAGGCATTCACCCCCATTTCATTCAAAATCTCAGCTGTACTTCTCTCCAGCCTTAGTTGTTTCTTGATCCCTTTTATTTACCCAGTTACAAAGCTCTAAAATATTGAAGTAGGATTCATCTTTTGCAGTGTTTTTCTTACCCTTCTTGCTGGCTCTTTTCCACAGGACTGACTCATTTTCTTCTGTCTTTAATTATGTTGTGCCCTTTTGTCCCCACAACTCTTCAATCATGTACTGAGTGTCAGTTCCACATTTCCCATTTAATTCCAGGAAGGCTGTGAAGGTTAGGCTCAATGAGGGCCTTTCAGAACATGCCAGGAATTCATTGCTTGGTCACACCTCTCCCATTTCCTGGAACTGTGGTGAAAAGACTCCTGTACCCCGATATGGATAACGTGGTGGGGTGTTAATCAGCTTTTTACCTTTTCTATAATAAGGGGCCAAATGAAGCTTTAGAAGAACAGGAAGGAAGTTCACAGTCTAGCACGTGGTGATGGCAAGTGTCTAGTCATTGTCATAAGTGAATTGAAATTGTGGAAGGAACTAGGGACGGAAGAAATGGAGCATCCGAGCTGTGATTTCTGAAACAGCACCCTTGGGGAGGATGTAGTACCTCAGAAGGTGGCCTGTAAGTCTGGATGGCAGACTTCCTGTATGGTTAAAGAGGGAGGCTTGTGTAGATTCCTCTAACTGCCCTACCTAATGCTAATTCGGGCTGCATTCAATGGAAACCTGATGAGATAAACTCACTAATGTGTTTAGAATGTCACTTGTTATCCTGGGGATTCTACCCGGAGACAACAGGCAGGATGCACAGATCAGAAAGGGGAATAAAGGCCAAGTTCACTTAGAAGGGCTTTGAGGTGTGGTTGCTAGACTTCGTTTTCAAAATTAATTTAGTTTTGATTACAGTTGACACAGAATAAGTAAGTAGTCATTAGACTTCTGGGGTGTTTCAGGATAAGACAGAATGAAAAAGAAAAGGAGCCAAGCTTTGGTGCGAGCATTTCCTTCATCTCTAGCTCTGTGTTGTGGCAGAAAGTGGTATGATAACCAATGAGTGTCCAAGAGAGAGTCATGGTGTCTGTATTTTTGATACCAGAACAGGCAGTGGAGGTTTGATTGGAGGTAGTGGAGGTTTACCCACTTAATCAAACCTTGGACCATACCTGGACACAAAACAGAAGGTCTAAAGTGCCTGCAAAACCTGGGTAAAATATGTACTAATGTCCCAAGTTGCCATGCTTTTTGGTGGTAGCTTAAAAATTGTTTCTTAGTTTGGAGACAAGAATGCTGAAAACTAGCTTTCTACTCTGTCTTCCATTTTGGTTATGAAGGTCTGTTTTGTCTTACCGATATTTTGTGTCTCACCTGATAAGGAAGCCAGTTCCTCATTTCCCTGTCTTGTAATAGATCAGAATTAATGCGATGCATCCCCCAAATCCAGCCCTTCAGATGCGTTCTCTGAGGTCCTCCAATAAATTGCAAATGATTCCCACCGCTGAAGAAACAAACCTCACTAGTTGTCTTGGACAGATGCAGTCTCCCAAGAGGTTTACATGAAGACAAAGCTTTGTATATCTCCACCTGCCTGCAGGGGGTCCAGTTTTGATGTGATGCTTTCATATCTTCAGAACCGTATCAATGCCAATATTTTAGTACCTGGGCAGGCTGTTCCTCTCAGCTCCTGAGCATGCGTAGGAAATTCGAAGGCCTGGCCTAGTGGTCTCTGTGCTGCTGTGATACATTCCAAATTCTGAAGGGAATGTTCTGGTTTTATGACACCCCAGGACAGGACTGGAAACGATTTATTCTGGGATTTATGCTAATGCAATTACTGCTAACTCATTTGCCTCCATGAAATGGTTTGTGCAATTGTCCTTTTCATGAATTTTTTATTCCCTTTTTTACCACATGTGCTTCAGGCCTCCTATATCTGTTTCTGGACATGAATATGGATATTTATCAATTAAAAACTCAGATCAGACAACTAGTAAAATTACAGAGGAATACCCCTAATGTTACTTCTCTCATTTCTTCTCCAAGCGTTTGATTTTAAGAGACCAATGTGGGGGAAAAGACAGTAACAAAACCCAACAAACTAGCGAGCTAGTTAACATTTTTTAGGATGGTGTACGACCAGGGAGTGCCCTAGTGATGAGGAATTTTTAATCTGAACTTTGGTGACTAATCTAAAAGTTGTTTTGTGTGTTCTTTCTTTTCTCTAGGTACAGAACGCTAGTGATTTGCTCATCAAACCCCTGGAAAATTTCCGGAAGGAACAAATAGGCTTCACTAAGGTACATTTTCTCTGCATGTATAAGATATTTTGTACATTGAATAGTTGTTGGGGCTACCACCCTTCACTCTTCTGGGGTGAGAAGGGTTTGTCTCTATAAGAAAACTCTTCATCAAAAAACAGTGAGAAAGTCAGTTGGCTCCTGCCCATGCTTTCAGCTAGCTATGTAACTGGACATGACACTTCTCCTTTCGGACCTGCATTTTCTCCATCTTGAAGATGAGGAGCTTGCTAATAATAGCTGTTATTTAAAGACCGATTACTATGTGCTGAGCCCTGGGTTAGATGCTCTACATTCGTTCCCTCATCATAACACCCCTGTGAAGTCCTGGTATTATCCCCATTTACACATGGGGCCTGTGGTTTGGACAAGATAAAGGAATGACCAAAGTCATATAGTTACTAAGAGACAGTAGCCAGGATTTAGACCTGAGGATCTTTTTAGGTTCAAATCCTACATTCCATTCAGCCACACTATCTAGATGTGTGCTGTCCAATATGGTAGCCAATAACTATATAAATAAAAGGAAATTAATTCAGTTTCTCAGTCATGCTAGTCACATTTCAAGTGCTCAATCCTGGACAGCACAGATATAAAGCATTTCCATCATTGTACAAATTTCTATTGGACAGAACCATGTCAGATAGTCTCGGAGTCCATCCAGCTTGTCTACTTGTGGGTCTCTCGGGTTTCCCTGTGTCTCATAAAGGGGTATGAATAATTGTGAAGTTTGTTCTTATCAGTGAGGTGTAGGCCTGTTTAGTGAGCTCCAATGTATATGTACCATGTAACAAAGATAGTCTGTCGCAACCAGATGTAGCATTGTGGCCAAGTGTCTGGCCCTTTTAGGTCTAAGAACACACCATTCAGTGGCTGTTATCTGGGCTATCATGTCAAATAGTTTGGACCGAGGATATGAAAGTAGACAGTTCTGAGAAGGAAGACCAGAACAGTGGATGTGCTCCCACTGCCTGCTACCATCAGCCACATTGGCGTGGGTGTTATTTGAGCGACTGGCATTCAAGCAAAGTCAGTTCTCGCGATAGCCAGGCAATTCTGGTTCATCTGAGTCTCGCTAACGTAAGTACTTAATTGGGAAAACAAGTGTATTATGGAGGAGAACAGAACCTCTTAAATCACAAGTGTGGTATGAAAATAATTAACCACTTGGTAAGTGACATGACAATTGTTACATCACTAAGTAAGGAGGATGAAGGACACATGACACCAAAACTCTCACACATGGGGGTTTTCATTTCTGGATGAGAACAGGAAAAATGAAGACTTGGCTGCAGTGGTTGACCTCATGTCATCTGAGGGAAAGAAAATGAATTTCTGTTATACACTTCCTGTGTCCCAGGATTTCACATATGCTATCTTCCTTAAATCAGACAGCAGACATGTGAGGTAGGATGTATAAAATCCATCATCCCAATGAAGAAGCTGAGACTCAGAAAGGTGAAATTCCTGTCAGTCTCTTTGCCCTATTGCTTTACCAGTGAGGCCAACCTGTACACCTACAAGGAAGGGACCAAGGCTCAGTGTGAGGGTCAGTTTGGAAACTATGTGAAATTCTCCTAGCAGTAAAATGTATGGCAGCACAGTGATTAGACATTGATATAATTTAAGAAGTGATCCCCTGACTAATCTAGTACCCAGCTGGCACCATACATTGTTATTACCATATTATTGACTATATTCCCTGTGCTGTACTTTACATCTCTGTGACTGTTTTGTAACTACCAATTTGTATTTCTTAATCACTTCATCTTTTTCACCCAGCCCCACTACGCCCCTCCAATGTATCACCCCAACAAATCTTAATACGCATCTGACACCATCCGTAGTTATTATGCTATCATTGACTGGATTGCTTATGGACAGAATTCCTTTAAGTATTTCTCCTTGACAGTGAACAAGAGATTAAGCTTTCTTAGTTAAGAGTGCTGGAGGGATGTTACAGGAAGAAGGGGCTCTCCTGAAGCTTCTGGTTGATGCGTGCCTGGGTCACTAGAGTGGGAGTGAGATACCCATAGGGCTCTGGCTTAGCCAGGCACCCAGGATGCGTGGTCCCTCAGTGACTTCCAAGGCTCCGCCTGGCCTGGCAATAACCTTTCTGCAGGTTTCTCAATATAGGTCTCTCCCTGAAGGCCTCCCCACCCATGCTGTCCTCTGACCTCCCTCTGTAGGTCCCCCATGTAGCGCGCCTGCCGAATGAAGGCACTTCCTCCTGCTTTCTCAGTGACTGCGCACCCCCAGGCTAAACCTGCGAACCTCTCTGCTGTTCAGTGGCTTGTATTATACCTTTCCCAGTGAGAGCCGAACCCCTTCCAAATTTGACCTCCCTTGGGTACCTTCCATCAGCCTTATGGTACCATATAGAGTTTTGGTATAGCTTATATTTACTTTTTTAGTTTAATAAGTCTGTAGTTTAATAGTTCTTGATAGTGGTTTCTATGACTTGATAGGGCTTGGACTGATACAGCCAACAGTGCAGCCAAATGGCTCTGTGATTTTGTTGGTAGTGGTGTGCTTTGCTAGGCCCTTACAAATGTAGACTCATGTTCTTATTTGAACCTCAGAACAGCCTCGTACAGTAGAGGTTATTCTCCCTTGTTTACAGGTGAGGACACTAAGGTTCTGTGAGGTCACTCAGCCAGGAAGCGATGGGGCGTGGAGCCGAATCTCGCTTTTCTGGCTGTAAGACGAGGGCTCTTTTCACTTTGTGAGAGATGCCGCTTCTGTCTGGGCCTCAGTTCTGTTGTCTGTACAACAGGAACAATGGACAAATGATGCCCGGTCAGATCTTCCGTTTCAGATTATCAGGGTAATTAACTAAATGTGCATCGACTGACGAGTAGAAATGGGCTGCTCAGAATTCAGTGTCCTGTAATGTCAAAATCCACTAGATTCTGAAGACTGTATGAAGAAAATGTAAAATATTTCATTAATTTTTTTATATCCATGACATGTTGAAATGACACTGTTTTGGATATATTGCGTTCAATAAAACATTATTGAAATTAATTTCACCTGATTCCTTTTCCTTTTTTGAACGTGACTACTGGAAATTTTAAAATTATGGATGGGGCTTGCATTGTATTTCTATTTGATAGCACTGCACAAGACAAAGCAGTTACTTTTCCTGGAGAACATCTTCCATTTCATGGAGGCAGCATTGAAAGAAATTTTATATGCACATAGGTATAGGATTAATTAGTTACTATAGATAAAGTTCTTAGAACAGTATCTGATGAATAATGTGTTAAGTTTTCTGTCATCATTATCATATCATCATCATCAGCAGCAGCAAAACAGGGAGAATAGAATGCAGTCCATGAAATTGTCCAACTGATGATGGACTTATTCTGGTTTACAGATTAAAGGAAGAGAGGTTAAAGAGTGAGGCAGGAAGAGCAGGGTGTGGACAATGAATTTTCCCAAGTGACTCCTTATTTATGGAGAGGTTTCATGTCACTAGGTCTGCAGGTCTGTGTCTGGCACTGCAGGTTGTGGGAGATGTATTTTTGTCATAGATACTTAAAGCAAAACAAAACAGAATCAGAGTTTCTTATTCAGTACGTCTGGGGTAAGGCCCAAGAATTTGCATTTCCAATAGATTCTCAGGCAGTGCTCATGCTGCCAGTCTGGGTGGGGATCACACTTTGAGAACTAGTGGGCTAACACACAGGGCTAGTGGGGAACAGTGGGGCGATAAAAAAAAGATACAAAATAGTAGAGTGCTCAGAACAAGAGGGGACACGTTCTGAACAAACATCTTGTTTTCTGAACGTGATTAGCCTTTTCAAATGACACTGACACTACCATTGTTGAAATAAGAAATGCGTTCTGTGAAATCTATGGGAAGGTGATGGAGCAAGCATGGGGTTCCTGTGTGGGCAGATTTTGAGCTGTTGGTCAGACATGGCTGGCGAATGCAAGTCACTGTGTTTGCAGAGTTCATTGGCTGACCAGTGAACTCTGTTGTCAGTTCACTATGGGTGACTGGTTCCCAGTAGACAAGGTCTTTCCATAACTAGAATCTCAGAAGGCTATTTTGTAAGTGAGTCATTTCACAGGGACAATCAGTTCCCATCAGGTTAGTCATTCTGTGATGCCTTGGGCACTAGCTTCTGTTACACAATAGCTTCTGAAGACTGTTCGATAGTTGGCTTCCCACTCATGTAATCAGGGGCCAGAGGGTCTCACAGGTGTCATCTCTCAGAGGATTTTCCCCCAGGGGGAAATTGTTTAGATGGGGCTCCTAACTCCCTACTTTAGCCAGAGCATTTTCCCTTGGATCTGTTTCATAACAGGACCCTGTTGGTTAAAAAAATTGCAAACCATCTATTTGTACTAAAACCTGATAGATCTCCCTGATAGGATCTGTAAAAAAACCCCAAAAAACCAAAAAAAAAACAAAAACCTCAACAGTCTCCATCTTTCCCTACTCCTGAGAGGCAGTCATTATTAACCATTTTATTTGTATTATTTTAATGGTTACTTTTATATTTAAAAAATGCTTATATTGCTATTTCTTGATTTATCAACTTTAGAAATTATTTTTTTCTTCATGCTATGAATACAGGAGGTCATTACTCATACCTCCTCTTTCCCTCCTCTTCCAATCTTTGATAATCACAATATCCTTTTCATTATTTTACTGCTTACTTCTATCAGTTTAAATAATATACTTCAGCCCCTATTTCTTACTCCATCAACTTTTTGACCATAGCTTTGTAAGATGAAGATATTAGCACCTCTGTCTTCCTTTACTACCTTTTAAGTCTCAACTCCTGTCAAGTTTCTTGGCTCTGAGTCCATGAACTTTGACATTTTTTATATTGGGTTACTGTAAGTATTTATAGTAACCCAAGTATTTCTAATGGCTAGGGGAGATCAAGAATGACCCCCGTCTTTACCCCTTTCTCCTAATTTCTTATCTACTATGCTTAGAGTTCTTTGTCCTACTCGAGACTTCTGTTTGGTTAACTCCTTCT